ATTATCCATATAACACTATCTTTTAATTAATATTATAAAATTTAAACTTCCAATTATTAAAATTAATTTTTTAGTTAACTAAACTCTAAACCACGGTAAAAAGTGAAACCCATCTAACTTTTCTCATAATCAAGTTTCCCTTAAACCTACCTTAGAAAGGTCTTAATTTTTTTTTATTATAATCAATCTCACCTGAGATTTGACTAGTCTAATTAAATTAATAAATTTTTTTGATTGAATTAAATTAATAAATTTGAAACTAATTCTCATAAAAACATAAATTTGGAACTGAGAAAAAAAATAAAAATAAAACTAAGACCTAAAGGATGTAAAATTAAATTTGTTTCGGAACTTAATTGAATAAAATTAAAAGCTTACATTTTAAAACATGGATTGTTTAACCACATGTCACCTATGTGACGGCTCATATATGTGGCTGCTGCATATGTACCAGCGGGGATTTCCGTTAGTACCATCCAGACAACCTTAATGGACTATATATTGATAAAATTTTGAAAATCAATAAATTGGTTTGATAAAAAAAAATAGTTAATTAACAAAGATGAAAGAATGAAACTAAGTGAATCCCAATCCAATGTCTATTTTAAATAATATTAATCAAAAGTAAATTAAAATAATTAAATTGGGGGAAATGGTCTAATTAATTAAGAATTGGCGCCAAATGGTAAATTAAGGTGTCAATATCATGGGAGACGTCCTTTGTCTACGAAAAATCCAAAGGATTCTTTGGTAAAGGGACCACCTCTTGTCTACCAAAAATCCAAAGGCTTCTTTGGTAAAGGGACCACCTCTTGTCTACCAAAAATCCAAAGGCTTCTTTGGTAAAGGGACCACCTCTTGTCTACCAAAAATCCAAAGGCTTCTTTGGTAAAGGGACCACCTCTTGTCTACCAAAATCCTCAGATGTACCATCCTTGCTTATTTAATCACCACCACTTCTCCTCTTTAGGCCCCCTCTGCCTCTCTTCTTTTCACTTTCATTCTTCCATCTTTTCTTCTTCTTCTCTTAGTTTCTTCTTCACTTAGTTAATTGGGGGAAATCAATTATTACTAACAACCTAAGCTCATTACGCCTAAGTATCTTACTTCGTTAGAGTCCATCATCATCTTACTATCTCTCTACATTAAGACATCCTCATCTCTCTTACTTTGTCTTCTTTCAGACATCCTTTGTTAGAGTTCACCATCTTCTTTCAGACATCCTCAATTCTTTGTCTTCTTTCAGACATCCTTAACTTTGTCTTCTTTCAGACATCCTCAATTAACACATCCTCAGAAACCATGAGGTACGTATTTTTCGCTCTTCCTATTTTCCTGTTGTTATTCTCGCTTCTTTTTTTTTTTTAAAACAAATGAATAAGTAGGGAAGAAAAAAATTTAGTTTGAGTTGAATAGCTAGATCATTAATTTACTAATAACTTGAACTTAAGTTTTTGAAATTAATGGACTTAAATCCTTCGGCTTTGTTAAGCCATTACGCAGAGACTATCTTACTTTGTTAGAGTCCATCATCATCTTATTATCTCTCTCTTACTTTCTTATCATCATCTTACTATCTCTCTCTTAGTTTCTTACTATCTCTCTCTTACTTTGTTCTTACTATCTCTCTAGAGTCCACCATCTTCTTTCAGACATCCTCAGAAATCAGTAACCTGAATTAACACATCGTCACTTCACAGTTATCCCTCACATTAAGACATCCTCATCTCTCTTACTTTGTTAGAGTCCACCGTCTTCTTTCAGACATCCTCAGAAACCAGAAACCTCAATTAACACATTCTCACTTATAGTCATCCCTCACATTACGACATCCTCAGAAACCATGAGGTACGTAAGATGAGATCTTCCTTTTCAAGTGCTCTTCGCTCTTCCTATTTTCCTGTTGTTCTTCTCGCTTTTTTTGTTTTTTAACAAATGAATAAATAGGGAAGAAAAAAAATTAAATTTAAGTTGAATAGCTAGATATGATCATTAACTAATGCCAAATTCTCTGAAACAGAGAAGAGATTGAGAGAAAAGTACTTAAATAAAAAAGGACTAATTATCTGAAACTAACCGGAAGAGCGAGTAAGGCCGTTAGCTTTGTTGAAATCGTTGTCCTCTCTATCCTTGAGGATTTGAAAGACAAGGGCAAGCTAAAACGCGTCGCAGCACTCTGCTGGGAAATGAGCTTAGTTTCCTTCCAGCTGAGTTGGTGACAATATTGGGATTCAATCATTTTAAACTATCTGTCTAACTTTTCTTTGCTCCTCCTTGATGAATTTTTGCTGCTTAATTACCAATCTCTTCCGTCAACTTTCTAAGGCCTGGTTTTAACCTTTTCATATCCCGGGTTGTGTCAACCCATTGCCAATTGGTATTTAGCCCACCAATTGACAAGAACAGCTCCTGGTGTTGGTGGTGGGAGTGACTTCGACGTGAAGAGTGACCGCACCGGAGGAACGGGCGGGAGTTTTCACATCTTTGTTTGAACACGCAGTATCGGGGTCTCATGGCGCTGGGCGGGTTCGGACTCGGGCATGGATCTGGGTTCGAGGATGTGAGTTTTGCGCTTGGAAGAGTGGTGTGGCCTTTTACTGGGGTTGGGAGATGGTGCTGCTGGTCTTGGATCTAATGGTGCGGCTGCAACTGGGATGGGTAACACGTGGCAATTTGAGTGCGGAGACTCTGGGTTAGTTGGTGGTATTTTTTGTAGGCCTGATCTTGTTATTTTCTTATAAATTTTTTTTTTACATTGAATAAAGAATTATACTATAAAAGATAAACTTTTTCTTAAACCTCTTTCCATCTGTTATTATTATTATTTTTTTTTTTTGAACGGAGGGAAATTTTCGGTAGAAGGAAGAGTAAGGCACGAGGAAACAAATGTGTAGATAAAGATATTAATTTTTAAATTTTTTATTTAAAAATATTAATTTTAAATTTTTTTATTTAATGATTAATTGAATAATAATGTTAATGTGATAAATAAATTTTTTAACTGAAAATATTGAAAGTTAATATTCTTAAATAAAAAAAATTTAAAATTAATATTTTTAAATAAAAAATTAAAAATTATTATCTTTATTGAGAAATTGATAAAATTAATATCTTTAAATAAAAAAAATATAAAGTTAATATCTTTATTTGTACATTTACTCATCCTTATTTGTATATTAACTCAATATTTACTCAAGGCCTGATAATAAAACTCAAGCCATTATATCCAACTACATCCTTGGATGGTTGACTATTAAGCAATCAAGAGTTGAACCACCTGTTCTTAAATTTAAACTTGAGATTTTTAAAAAATTAAATTTTTAATTATTAAGATATCACTATCTCCAGTCCCACAGGGGACGCTATTTCCTTATAATTAGTTAGTCACATATTCTTGAAACATATTCCCTTGGCTCTGTGTGTGTTGAATTGGTGGGGATCCTGGGAACATGAACATCATAGTAGGGGCAGCAACTGATATTTTGTTTCGATCCATTTCTCAGCCGTATCGGCCGAAACATATTGTACCGGCCGGTACATTGCAAAACCTTTTTTTATTATTATTAATTATCTTTTGTTTTCTTCCCTTTCCCCATTTTCGGCTAACGCATTCAACGAAAATGAACATCATAGCAATCCATAAACCCCACTCCTCTCCATCCACAATCCCAGCCAAGCAATTGCTACTGGTTAAATATTAGCTGAGAATGGGAGCATATTTTCGAACTCTTCTCATGAAATTGTAGCAATGACAATGTTTTTTATTAAGCATATTGTTCATGTGTACTCTCTGCATGGTGTTAAAATTGTTAATAGGTAGTTGGTGTTGGACTTTTGACAGAAATGTCATTACAAAATACAAATTTAGGAAAAGTGCAAATTAGACGTTGCATTGTTTCAAATTTTGGGGAAAAAAAAAAAAAGACTATGGTCTTTAACTTTCTCAGATTCTCAGATCAGTCCTTAAAACTAAAAATTATTGCTGAAGAATCCTTAAAATTTTTTCTTGTCACAGCATAGTACTTAAAGTCTCAGTAGAAAGTCTAGCTCCCATAGATGAATGGAAAGAGTCAAAAATCTTGATTCTTTCACTTTCTTAGTATATATATATGAATGCAATGTATTCTTGTTAGATGAAGAATGCTGATATTGGCTTCGTGATGTTGAAGAAACTTGGGAAAAAGAGAAAGAGGGAATTTAATCGGGGTTTGGGTTTGAGTGTGTCGAAAAATTTCACTGATATCTGTTTCTTTTGGGCAGTTCACTGGTTGCTTTGACTACGCGTGTTGAAAACAGAAGCCAATGGGCACGGCTTGTGTTAGATTTCATGAGAGGGGGAATTGATGGAGAAAGGATCATGCAGGTAGAGATCTTGCCTAGGGCACACATAGACCTCATCCCGAGCACCATTTTTGGCAATGACAATGAAGACAATCCTGTTTTTGTGTATGCTCATCTTGATGGAATGGACCCACAATTGTGGACTCCTATAGCCCCAAATATGATTAAGTATAATGCTAAGGTTTTTCTGGGATATGTGGAATATCGCAGGCCAATTGAAACTGCATTTTTTGGTGGATCTAAGTTAGGAAGGCTCAGGTCCCTTTCCTCGCTCTGATTTTGCTTTTCAATAATTCATCCGTACATCCAGTTTTCATTGTTTGCTAAATTGTTCTTTATATATGGTTTTGCAGGGTTGTTGTTAAGGTGAAAAATGCTATGAAGAAGGTGATGGATAAAATTATGGGTATAAACTGATGAGGTAAATATGTTCTGTACTTCGATTTTTCCTTCACAAGATCTTTTGGTCCTTTATTATTGAGTTTTGATGTTAATTTATCATGGATATCATGCTTCTATTTTGCTTATAAGTCTTGTCCTTTTTTTTTTTCAGGAGATTTCATTTGTCATCCAAACTATCAGAACAAATTATATATGGCATGTATAAACAGCAGATTTCATATTTCATCCAAACAGTCAGAATAATTTATGTATGCCATGTATAAACACTTTCTTTCTATTGTTAGACTTTCTGGATACATGCTGTTCTTGGCTCTTCGCTGTTTGACATACTTATGACATCGAGTAGTAATTTGATTCTTACTTTTCCTATTGGGTTCTTGAATTGATGTTGGGATTTCATGTTTGTTTCAAGGGGAAAAGTATGAAGTGGAATTGGTTACTTCTTCTTTTCTTACTTTTGGAAGTCTATTTTGTTATGTTCAATTGGATTTTGGGGGGGTTTGAGTTGAAGAAATGGACCTTCTAAACACTTCCTTTACACAGACAAGCACTCTTATTCTTTCATCACCCCTTTTGTAGAAACTACAAAGAATTTGTTTTCTATTTCAAAACAGGGAATTTACCTGAAACTACAAAGACCCACGATTTTAATCTCATGGAATTGCAGATGTTTTTCAGACAAGATGGCGAAAATTTAAAAAGGAAAAAAAAAATACTAAAGAGTAAAGAGTAAAAGTAAAGAAATGGGAACCTGGGGTTGTAGAGTTCTTGTGCCAGAAACTATCCCACCTGTCGGATTCAATGGTTCTGGTTTCAGTAGGAACTACGCTTATGCTCTTGGGTTTCTCCAATTTCTTCGATGCTTTTCTGTCTTCTTCAATTTCTTGAAAGGAGCCATCAGAATCTATACTGCTTGGATCTTCCGCCGTTTTCACTGATTCAACATTTACGCAGCAGCTTGATGACTGGTAAAATTTGCTAAGGGCAATGTTGATTTGAGCTCATTTTCCTTCTCAAACATCGTGTTTTCTTTCTTTTTGAAAAGGAAAATAAAATCCAAAGTTGTGTTTGACGAGCAAGAAAGTAAAGGAAAGGGATACAAAAACGCTAAATTGTAATTTTGGTCCATGAGCTATTGGTACAGTAACATGTAGTATTAATTAAGAGAATATATAAACTACTATGTTTCACCCCTTAAATATAAAATATTAATCGCATTTTGCCTTCGGATCAAGTGGAGGAAGCACAGCAGAGATTGTTGGCGTTCTTGGTAATTTTTTATCTCCGTACACAAATAAGTTTGTTAAAATTAGTGTGATGATTGTCAATAAGTTTAGTCTCACCTTTCAAATAAACAGAATACTTGGCTCAATCTAAATCAATCCAACAATTGTTGAATTAATTTGTTCAAAAATATTCCTCAACAATTCATTACCTTGTTGTCTCAAGGGAAAATTTTTTACAGATGAGATTTTACTTCGGCACTTGCTGTAATGTGTCAAGACTTCTGAGGTTTAATAGTCATTTCAAAGTTTTGAAAAAAGTTCACCAACTGATTCACCCACTTAAAAAATTGACATGTCTTTATTAGGAAAGTAGTGAATGGAAACAGTTCTACAAGTTGAGTTTCTCATCTGCATTATAGACTCCTGATGCTTAATGTTACATAAATTTTATCATATTTTGAAGTGCAAGTGCTAAATTCTTATGGGTAGGCAAGGTCTTCAGTTCCCAGTCTGCATTCAAGAATAAAGGGGGTGTTTTACATGTCAAGTGAGGGAAGAAATCTGCTGCATGAGGCAAGTAATACATCTCCTGCTTTGTACTTGTTGTATATGTGGCTGAGAAATCTGGAGACGTAGAACTAAGAATAATTTCAGTGCTCTACTTGAGCAGGTCCTCCCATCAGCAAATCCAGCTGTCCTGGACCAGTTAAGTGTAATCCCAGCTAGCTACCCAAGAGGGGGGGTGAATTGGGTCTTATCAATTTAAACTTAAAAACTTGTTTCTTTTTCTTTCAAGACTTAAATCAAATTTGCAATTTATAAGCTGTTGTGCAGAACAAACAAGAGTAATATAGTGCAGAAAAATAAAAGAGAGGGAAGAGAACATCAAGCTGTGATTTATAGTGGTTCCTCCAACGCGGAGTACATCCACTCCCCAAGCCTCCTTGCCCGAGAGTTCAATCCACTAGAAATCTCTTGCTTACGGGTGCAAGATTAAACCGGAACAAGTGAATCTCAACTCACTCAACTCCTTTAAGGATTAACCCAATCCAAGAAGAATACAAAACCCTTGTAAGACAATATACCCAAAAGCTCACAGAAGAAAAGAAGAAGGAAACCCAGAACAAAATCAAACTCAGTTTTTGTAGCAGTTCGTCCTTCTTCTCTATTCTCCAGATCTGAATTTTTGATTATATAATAGTAGGTTTGGAGCCTTGAAATTAAAGTCCATTTAGCCCTTCAAAGCCACCCCACAAATGCTCCAATTAGATTCCACCTTATTCTACTAACTTTGACTTGACTTTGGAAAGTGCTCAGACAATGGTTCCCC